TGGCATAAAGACTGTGTTCACGAAAAATAGTGACTTGGATACAAGCGTTGCAGAAGTATATTTCTGCTATCCAAATGCGTGGTTGTTGTCCATCTGTTGAGAGCACAAAAGTCGGCTGAAACGTTCATATAAATAACACCAAAACAATTCCTCTAGACAAGAATGCTTATTTAATAAGCGATAAATTCAGTTGAACTAGCAGTATTTTTTCCATACCGTAGGCCCCAGGAACTCAGAAGTCCAGTTTACACTTGTCGACAGTGTACCAGACCATGGTTTTGTTTGACATGTATTCCATGTACACATATATTTCAGGAAGACCTTGATTCAGACCTTCTTGCAACCCAAAGGTTGATATCTTTGCTTCTAAGTCATTGTTGCCCTCTTAACCATCGCTCAAGTCTCCTTGATGCTTATTTTTAACCATTCCAAAATCTTTAAAGGTGTGTTCTGGTTCTAAGTACAGAATTTTGCTGTCTAGAAGAATTAACCACGACAGAGGAAGCCATGTTTGTTTCGGATAACAAAACTTTCCCCTACCCCTTGGGAAAATGCAAAGGACCAAAAACACAATAGGTACCAAAGAAATTGCTGGGGAGTGAGAAAGATACATTTCTTAGTATTTTCAAAGAGTCACTTGCCTCACCTACCCCGCAAGGAAGTTCATAATTCATGTTACCTCAGCTACCCATACACAAAGTTAACAGACTTAACGATGAAAAGTTTAAAAGAATTCTGTTACAATTGTTTAGTATGCCGTCATACTGTGTCCAGCTGACTAAAATATTGACATCTGAGGGCAACGTTTTCAATCAGGAACTAGCAATTGGCGTACTCGAAGAACCTTTCCCAATATTCTAACCCCAATAGTACTTTGCACTAAAAATGAGTGTTTAAATTGAAATTCAAAGCACTAAATCAGCACATGCTAAGTTTCAATCTCATTTCATACCAGTTGAGAAAGTTGATCAACTAAATTAACCACAACTGAAAATGGTTTTCTCCAAGTCAATATACAACAGAAATACGCTCAACTGACTTAAAATGGTTTATGACATTTCAAACCAAAAGTTCTATTAGTCTCTACAGTTTATCTCAGTAGTGACGTCATAATAATAATCAAATAGTTGTCACTTTGCATTCTAGTACCTTTGTCGGGGTACCAGTTGTAGTTGTGGAATCATTTCTGGTTGGTGGGACTGTGGTATTGGACGGGGTTGCAGTAGTAGTTGTTGGGATACCTGTTGTTGTTGATACCGGTGTTGTTGTTGGTACACTGCAATTTAGTGCAACTAAAAGAAAAATAACATGTTTATAATAATATTCAAAAAGAACAGAATAGGATCGACTTCTATTGCCTGTAGTCATATATATGAGAACTATTGAAATATATAGATATCTTACTTGACCACTCCCCCAGTGGGGTTTTTCAGGGCCAATGGAAGCAAATGATGAAACAAATACAATGTAAATGAACATAACATGGTTAAGAATCCCAACTGCACGAGGTGGACCTGTTGGCTATTTACAAGCGTGTCACTAAGGAGTTGAACTTGGGATTACAGAGAACAACACCAGGTGGTGGTCAGAGCGGGACTTGAACCCACGACCTCCAGATTTCACGTCCGGCGCCCTAACCACTTGGCCACGTTGCCTCTTCAAACTTTTGCCACAGACTTCGCTGAGTTGCCAAATCAAACTCAAGCTTGAATTAAGCATGAGCCAAATGTCTTCTCGAATCAATAATATTGTCCAGTCTATAATTTGCATCATCCTTAGAATTACTAACTTAAGAGTTAACCATATACCAGTCAGCTTTGTTTAGGCTGATCTGAGTGCTGATTTAGCCAAACACGGAAGCAATTAAGAGTGAATGCCTATAAAAATGG